TCCTAATGGTCAGCATGGGTTACTGATCTAAAATGACTCAGGTCAGTATTTTGTTATTTTTTAGCAAACTGCTAGCGTAATCTTTGTCGCTGATTCAAATGTAAAGCTCGAAGAAGCCTGGTTTGATTTCAGTCAGCATGACCTTCGAAAGGTCAATCTAGGCCACTGACCCCAAATGAGCATGTGATCTTTTGCTTAGACCAGGCCTCCTTGTTATAGGGCGCTTGGGAGACCAACTTGAATCTGACCTTGTTCGATCCTATTTGACCCGACGACTGTGACTTAGGAACCTCAAATTTTGGCCTAGTGAGTTCACGTACAGTTCAACACACCTTGTGAATTTGGTGCATCTGACTGTATTAGTTCCTGAGACCTCAGAGGGTCAAATTAACCCCCAGCGAGGGTAACCAACCTGTCAGCCGGGGTGTGTTAAAGTCAGGCTACCGCGCGCCACTCGTGGACATGGCCCGGTCACGTGGTATGGCGCGGCATCGGTTGAGGCTATTGAATGCCGGCGCAGGCTAAAGCTCTGCGGTTGTCCGCCCCTGCGCATCTACACCCACCCCACCGTTGTCCAGTCTCCATCCGGAAGCCTTATTTTCATTTCTGTCCGAGAAGACCAATCGAAATAACATTGACGCCAGGGCCAGCCACTTCACGAAAGTCTCCTCAAGAATGTGGGAAGCTGGCAAGAAAACGAAGAGGCCTGGGCTTGGCGCCTCCACCAAAGTCGTATCCAGCTGTCGGCGGCCGACGCTATCCGCAAGAAGACGGTTTCACAGCCACCAGCGGCGGCTGTGTAGACGACTGAGGAGAAGAAGACGAAAATGGCGGGGAGAGAAAAACTGCGGGCTCCGGAACAGAAGAAGAAGCTGGACACTAAGGTGCGCACGAGCCGCCGCCGCCGCCGGCATCCAGCTCGCCGCTCGCCGCCAGTCCGCCGCACGGGCTTATGGACTACGGTAAGTGTGTCTGATGGTTCTGTGCCCTGTCGTGTGCCGGCCATCATCTTACGACGGCTTGGGCGACGTTATTTGTGTATGCGCTTTGTGTGGCGTATGTGTATTAGCTGGTGATAAAGGTATGAAGTAAATGCATGCATTTACTTCAGGCAGTCATCCTACTACGTCTCCGGCGTCCGTGGCATCCGTGTGACAGCGTAACCAACTGCTTTAATTTGTTGGTCTTGTGGCCGAGTTGGTCGCAAGACAATGACTGACTTTCCACTAGTTCGCAGGACTTCATTCTAGGGTCGTGGACGTGGACGAGGCGACTATAGGCTGCAAGGACGCTGGTCGTTGGAACGCTCCCCGCCCCGCGATCAGGCCCAGCGGGCCCGGTCTCGGGACCACCCAAGACGGGGCGGCGCGCTGTGTAGGAACAGCCATGTCGCGGTGCGCGCCTTTACGGTGCGTGAGGGCCGGACGCTGGACCTGACTTTGGGGCAACACCGGATTGTTCGGCGGTGGATACGCCGGGCGGGTAGCGTGGGCGACGGCCTCCGAGATGACGCAGGCCGGGACTGGGGCCGGCTGTTCGATGCCGCGGTAAGGCTGAGGACGGACCGGGACTGGCCGCCTTCGCTGTCATGAGCGTGGGTGGGCCGGCCCTGTCCCGGAGAACGAACCAGCAGGCGCGGCAGCTGCTGCTCCCGCGCAGACAGAACCCGGTTCTAGTGGAGCCCTTGTAGGACGCCCTGCCGCCCGCGTTGTCAGCGGACGTGAAACTACCTCCGCATGCTGACGCGTATAACTACCGGTGTCTGCCCGGTCATCATGAGCGTCGAGCCGGGGCTAGACCTGTCGGAGGAGGGGCTGGCTGCCTTCCGCAAGCCGCCTGCCGCCGTGCCAGGCAACACCTAGCCAACCTAACGCAGCAAATTAGAATGGCTCTCCGGCAGGCAGGCGACCGGTTGCATGCTGTGTGCCGCTCTTGCTTGTCTTTGGCTTTTTTGGCTGTTTCCGTATTGACTTGTTTGTTAAGCCTGCCCATGTTCCCACAGAGCCGGCTGCCGAAGAACGACCACCGCTGCCCAGCCTGTGTCTCCCCGACGACTACTCGCCTATGGAGTACGGTAAGCACGCCTGATGATACTATTTCTTTCGATGTTTTAACCGTCTCTGGTGGCAGTACGTTGACTTACTATTGTGTGTAAAATCACAATTCTACGGCAGACTGTGTGTAAACACAGACAGTGTGTGACGGCAGACTGGATGTAAATGTGCTTCTGCCGCAGCTGGCATACCCGCGTGCTTGCCCGGGCCGTAGCAACCTGATCATTCTGTATTGCAGCGTGCAAGCCGTGGCAGGGCCGGCTTGCACGCAGCGGCGCTGGGAAGCGCCACAGGCACCTGTGGCGCCTGCCGCCGTGCGACGGCACCACGTACGCCATCCTGAAACGGCACACCAGGATGGTGCACCCGCGGGTAAGCGACGGATTGCATGCTGTGTGCGGTTGTTGTTCGCCTTCACTCGCTTGTGCGTGTATCTGCCGGCGATGCGTCATGCATGTCCACGGCAGTGCCGCCTGCCTTATCTTTTCCGCTGTCAACTTGTGTTTCAGCTTGCCGCACGCGCGCCGGAGGAGGCAAAGCGTCTCCGAGCCGCCGAGGCCGACTGCCCTCCAGCAGCGGCCAAGCGCACCCGGCCACGCTGGCGCTGCCCGTTCGGCGCCAAGTGACGGGCAGCACCAGTGCCCGGCGGTGGTCATCAACCTAACACGACACCTGCGGGTGCAGTTCCCGGCAGGCAGCCAGGAGGTATGTACCATCGCCATTGCTTCTGTCATCGTTCGGACGTGCGTCTCACTGTCTCAACACCGCGTGTTGTCGCCTTTTCGGCGTGTTCGGTGTGGCATCGTGAACCGTCCGTCCACAGTTCCAACAAGCGTACGGCAGTGCGGAGCGAATCGACCCCATGTTATCGGCGAAGCCTTAACAGGGCATCTCGGACCGCTTCGCGATGTTCCTGCGTGGGGTCCGGGGTGGTTTCTGCAACGCAACAAACGTGCAGCGCCACATGCGGGCGGCAAGTGCCACCGATGCCGGTCTGCTTCCCATCTGCTTGCTGCCATCTGCTGTGGCTCGTGTTTCGCGTGTCATCTTGTGTTAGCTTCGTCCGCCTTATCCGCCCCATGCAGCGGGGCTCAGAGTTGTGCTGGCGGCCAGCTGTCGTGTCACGGCGGTGCGTAATGCAGCCTCGTTTGCAGCTCCATCTCCTGCTGCCAGAGCTGCTCCCAGGCCGCCGTGCGGACCAAATGGTGATGCCGAACATCATGGCGGCCCTCTCCGGCCCCTAGCTGGCCATGGAGGGGCCAGACGGCTGGCTGCAAGCACAACAGCGAGCCCGCAAGATGACAGCCGGCACGCTAAAATCTTCTATCCGCTGCTCGTCCCAGCTTATCACCTACTGCGCAATAGACTGCGAAAATCTTGGTCTGCAGGCGTGGCTGCCGCGCATGCCGGTAAGTGCCATCAACAGGTGATGTGTCGATTGGGCAGTCTGTCACGTCATCGTCACCGTTCGCTAATGACACGGAATTCACAGGCCATGCAGGAGCGGCTGACGGCATGGCAGCGCTCGATTGGGAGCAGCGCCGGCACCACGAAGCCCAGGCAGCACGCTTCGTCGACGTGCAAGTCGAGCAGTGCTTCCTGAGCGTAAGAGATTGGCTGCCGCTGTGTGGTTGGGAGTAATGTTCATGTGTGGCGCTTGTCTCGTGATATATGTGTCAGTACCGTCCGTGCCCCGTCTTAGCCCAGCTGCTGTCATTGTTCGGTGCGCATTGTGCTGGCGTGGTCGTGGCTGCATGACATCGTGTCAGTCTTGCATTTCATCAGCCGTCTTTTGACTGACAGTCCGAGTACGTCACCGCTCTGACGGAGTGCCCGCCGGTCGGCGAGTTCCCGCCACTGCCGGCCGAGGCCCGCCAAGCGCGTGATGATCTGATGACAGTGCTCATGGACCTCTGCGCCGGCCGGCCCAGCCACGTCATTGGCATCGCCGCCTCTTCGGTGCCCGAGGCCAGGGTGAGCAGGCTGGCTGGCCGACGTCTGACTCACTGTTGCGCGCCACTTGTTTTGCGTCGATCTGTCTACTGTCTGTCGTGTCTCTGCTGAAATGATGGTTTGAACGGAACATCATGCGTGCCTGCAGATCGTCCGCCCCGATGGCCAGCTGCGCCGGCTCACCAAAAACTACAAGTTCAAAACAGCGGCGAGCGCTACCCTAGAGGTGGCCGTCGGCCCCAAGTTGTGGCGCCGGCTGCTGCACCACATCTCGGCGGAGCGACCGGTGCTGCTGACGCCGGACACCGCCAGCAGCAACAGGGTATGCACAGACACCGGGCAGCAGACGCCCGACCGTTTACAGTGTTGTCAGAGTCAACCAGGTGCGCTTTGCACCCGCACCTGTGTGATCAAGGTATTTGTTTTCTCACAGCTCTTCATCGGCACGGGCGGCGGCCCGATGTCCAGCAGTAGCGCCGCCAAGGCGTTCAAGGCGGCATGGCGGCGGGCCCTGCCGGACGGGGACGTCCCCGACCTAACCGCCAGCGGCGCGCACTACGGCGCCGTCGTGAGTACGGCGGCGGCAGAGCCGGAGGCGCAGGGGTAAGTGCACACCTGCCAGCCTCTACTCTTCACGTCTCACCCGGTGTGTCACCCCAAGGTAGCCAACATGGCCAGTGTCGGTCGGTGTGTTTGCCCCGATGTGTCAATGTAGCCACCACATGCAGCCGTTCGTCATTGTCAGCGATACTTGAACGAAACGCCGCGCTTTACGAGCTGACATATGTCTGGGGCCGAATGCAAATGTGTCTGTTGCAGGGACGTGGCCGCGGCAATGGCCCACTCTGTGGCCACCGCTCGTCGCGTGTACGTCTTTGACGTCACGGGGAAAACGTCCCGTCTCGCCGGCATGGCTCGAGCGGCAGCGGCTGCGTGCCGCCGGCCAGTCAAGTAGCACCGGCTGCAGCCCCCCAGTCGACGCGTGTCCCGGCGGCGACGACGTCGGCAGAGCACCAGTCAGCAGCAGCAGCAGCAGCAGCAGCGACGAGGACGACCTGCCGGCCGACGGCGGCTACATTGTGCCGCCCTCCGATGCGGCCCTGCCGGTGGGGTGGCAGGAAGACGTGGTCGGCTCAAAGTCAAACTTCGAAGGCATTTGTTTAAAGCCGTAATTTAACCACGTTCGTGTGCGTTGCCTGTTTTGTGATGTGTACAGCGTAAATTGCATGCAAGTATGACTGATGTGCCGTTATGTCATGTGTTCAAGCAAGGTACTTATTGGTTGTGCGCTGCTGGCCGCTGTGTTTGGTACCTGCCTGTTTCAAGAGCACGCTTATTTGTTCACAGACGGACCGGACGGGAAGAACGTGTGCTTAAAGAAGGAGAAAAAGAGAAAGAAGATCGTTTGCAGTGACGACCCGCTGCCGCCGCTGCCCAGCTCGCCTCTGGTTGCAAACCCGCCGCACGGACTCCTGTAGTGCGGTAGGTGTATGATGATTCTATCTTGTTATATGACGGCCGTTCTGTTGACATTTCATAAGCGCTGTTCTGTATGCGTTTCTTATATCGCGTGTTTACTAAGGGATGCGAAGCGATTCTGACATAAAAGGCATTCAATTGTTTTTCGCCGCAACGGGTCGCTGTTTAAGGTATAGCTGCTCGGGTACGGATATGGCTGCATCGCCAGAGCGACATGAGGCTGGCGGCCGGCTGTCGTATAATTGCAGTGCGTAATGCAGCCTCTGTTTGCAGATCCGTCTCCTGCTGCCGGCGCTGCCGCAAGGCCGCAGGACTGAGCACATCATGATGCCTCACATTATGACAACCCTCGCCGGTCCCCGGCTGGCCATGGGGGAGGCCAACGGCTTACTCCAGAGGCAGCAACGAGCGCACGCCATGACAGCCGGGACGCTTAAATCTGTCATCCGGTGCCTGTCGTCAGTTGATTACCTATGTGGCCATCGGCAGCGACAACCTGGGCCTCCAGGCGTGGCTGCTGCGCATGCCGATAAGCGCTCTCCACAGCTGGCGTGCCGATTGTGCAGGCTGTCGCACCACCGTCACCGTTCGCTTACGACATGCAATTTTCAGGCCATGGTGGAGCGGCTGGCAGCCTGGCAGCGGCCACTGCAGCGTGCTGACTGAGCGACGACGCCACTGTGCTGACTCGGCCGACAGGGGCTTGGAGAAGAGGAAAAAGAAGCAACGCAAGGAGAAGAGGCAGAAGCACCAGAAGAAGGAGAAGGCGTCGTTGACCCTTTACGAGCCGCAGTCGCCTTCCCCCTCCCCCCCCCCCCCCCCCCAGCTCGTCTCCGTTTTCAGCCCGCCTCCCGGGCCTATGGACGGCGGTAAGTGTATCAGAATTCTGTCTCTTGTCTCGTGCCGGTTGTTCTCCGACGACAGCTTTTGCGCACCTCTTTCTGTGTGCGTTTATATATCGTGTGTTCATTAGCAGGCTACACAATGATTTAAACCTTGAAGGCATTCATTTAACCTCGTCATTCATCCTCGCCTGTTTACCGTGCTTGTGTTTTGGTGTTTATCGTTTTAGTGCATGCCTGCCTCACTGATGTCGCATTATGTCATGTTTTCCTGCTGAGTAGTTATCGGTTGTTCTTGGTTTGGGTGTTTTGTTCTGTATTGACGTGTTTGTTAAGCCTGTCCATGTTCCCACAGAGCTACTCGCCTATGGAGTACGGTAAGCATGCCTGATGATACTATTTCTTTCGATGTTTTGACCGTCTCTGGTAGCAGTACGTTGACTTACTATTGTGTGTATGTTCATTGAGGTATATGTATTGTACGCTGTGGGTGCATTAGACAAGTGGAAAGTTGTTAAAAAAGGAAGGGTTCGTTTGATGCGCTGCTGTTTTCATGTGTTATAGTCATTGCCCTTAAAGCAGGTGCTCTATGTTTTCGATGTTTATTCCGTTTTTCGGTATGCGACTAGTCAGCCTTTCATTCTGCCAAGACATCCGATGGCCGACACTTATGGCACATGTGATATGTTTTCATCTAAAGGGTTTGCTGATCATCCATTGCTGGCTGGTATGCTTTTTTTAGTTGCTTCATAAGCGTGCCTATTTGCTCACAGAGCCGGCTGCTGACGAACGGCCGCCGCCGTACACCTGGTCGCCCCCGTGTTTGACGACTTTTCCATTGAGCACGGTAAGCGTGTTCAATGGCGTGATTTCTTTAAGTTTTTCCTAGTCGTCTATTGTAGAATGTGACATGCAGTTGTTATTGTCATTGTGTATACGTGTTGTAATTTTCCTAGCCGTGTATCGTAGAACTTGAGATGCAGTTGTTATTGTCATTGTATATGCATGTTGTTTGATTACGTTCCTCGTATTTTTGTATGCGATGGACTGTTAGCAAAGGTGTCACCAATACGAAACGTTCGATTTATTACACTGTGGTTGTCGTCTGTTCTGATCATTTACCTACAGTGTGACGCATTCTATGTCCACAATGTTTATTTCCCGTTTTTGTACGTGACTACTCAGCCCTTAATTCTGCCAGCAGAGGGAGCTCTGGCCGACAGCCAGGCGCCACCGGCGGCGGACCCGCCGCCTCTGGCGCCGCGCCTCACGGTGTGCCCTCGCTTTTCTCGACATCGTTTAAGGCTGTGGTAAGAATAAACGTGATATTAGGCTTGGCAGCTCAGACGCAATGAACGCTGCGCAACACCCTATGTCAGCAGACGGACCGACACACCTCTTCCTGCAGAAACAGCTGTTCACACTCTGCCTGGGAAGGCGATGTTACACCTGCCTGAGAAGGCTGGGCCATGGGCAGATTGGTAGCATCTTCTCGTTCCCTTACTTACTGAGTTACCGTTTGTGTGCGAGTCACTTGGGTGAGAGATGTGCACCGCACCCTTCGCTGACGCCATGGCACACATGCTATTATATATTCGAACCATAGCCATGAACTGAATCGTTTAACTCCGGTGATACGATTGGACGCTTTCCGTTTATCTGGCTTTTACATTTCGTGGCACTGGTCGTGTGTCGTTTTGCGTGGGATATATGACGCGATTTGTCGTGTTTCGGTGTAGTTTTGCGTCCGATTTCTTAAACAGCGAGTGATCTGGTCTCTGCTACAACATCTAGTGTGCGAGACAGATGGTGATGATGCGTAACAGAGACTGTTCCGCCTGAGATGGAAGGGGCGCAGTTAGTGCCTTTGTTATCCTGCTGCGGTTCTTTTCAAGGAGAGTTGTTCCGTTTGGTCTTCGACTTTGCTGGTCGTTTGGTGGTCGTCCTCGCTTGCATATGTCTTCTATACGTTTTCTCTGTCTCATTATCTGAACACGATGTTGCGTAGTTTTCGTTTCGCGCTTGTTCATCATGGGCGGGAAGCATGAACACGGCAAGGCGGATTTGTCCCGCCCTGTCACGGGGTCGGCGCCGGCCGCTGATGTTGACCTGCCGTCACACGTGATGGGCGATCCTCTGACCATGTCCTCTCTGTTTTCTTCCGCGGATGCTTCTGCGCCTGTTCGTCACCAGCCGACGGAACGTCTGCCGGACGGCCGGCTGTCTATCCCTCGCGCGTCTCCTTATCAACTCCAAGCCGCGGCAGCCGCCGAACTGGTCACCCACGTGGCAGCGGAGGCCAAGCACCTGCGGGCAGGCAAGACGTATCCGTATCAGTTGTATCAGCGTTCAAGCGAATACGTGCCGCCGGCGTTGCCCGTTCTGCGCCACCGACGGGCGGTACAAGTGCACGGCAGTTGTCGTTACTTTGTTACGACACCCGCGGGTCCACTTCCCGTCAGGCAGACGGGAGGCTTGTTGTCGTGTTGTCGGCTTTCGGCGTGGACAGCGTGACATCGCAAACCGTCCGCAGTTCCAACAGGCCGACGCAAACGCCGAGAGGGTGGACGCCGCCATGCCAGTCTCAAAGGCAGCTGGTGGGTCTGGAGGCCATCCTGGACCAGTTCGCAGCATTCCTGCGTGGGGTTCGTGGTGGCTTCTACAACCCGGTTGACGTGCAGTAACGTCTTCTAAACGTGAGAGGTTCAGCGCCGCTGTGCGGTTGGAAGCAGTGTCCATGTATGGCGCTTGTCTTGTAATATTTGTGTGAGTACCGTTGCTGCCCGGTCTTAGCCCAGCCGCTGTCATTGTTCGGCGTGCATTGTGCTGGCGTGATCGTGGCTAGATGTGTGTTTCGTGATCGTGGCTAGATGCTAGATGTGTGGCTAGATCGTGGCTAGATGTGTTCGCACCAGTCGTGTGTTTAATCGGCTGTCTTTTGGCCAGCGACAGCGTGTCGCTGCTCTGACGGCGTGCGCTGGTCGGCGAGGTGGCCGATGCTGGCCGATGCCCGCCAGGCACGAGATGACGTGATGACTGTTTATGGTGCTGTGCGCCAGCCGCCCCAGCCATGTGACGGGCATAGACGTTAACGCAGGGGCCGGGTTGGCTGGCCAACTTCTGGCTGACTGTTGCGCGCCGTTCATTTTGAGTCAACCTCTCTACTGTTTGCCGTGTCTGTTGTCGAAATGATATTTGGATGAAATATCCTGTATGTCTGCGGGCTGTCCATTTCAATGTCCCGGCTGTCATCGGAAGTGGACCCGCGAATGAAGAAGTGGATGTGGGAAGACGGGAAGTGGACCCGCTGATGTTGTAACAATGTAGCGTCAGCTGACGTGCACTTGCGCACTGCGCTGCCTCCACAGGTAGAGGATGTGACACCACCTTGTCAGGCAGGCGGGGTGACGTTGCCTCGTAAGTCAGAGGGTGGTGTGGGAAGAAAGGTACCATTTGATCAATCTGTCACGTGAATTTGCAATTGGTAACATATTGTCGCTGCTGGTGCCATTTGGGGGCGGGCTCAGGTCCGCCCAGACCCACCCCGCGGTGGTGTCAGAGTAGGCAGGTGCAGTGTGCTTAACAAATGCCAACGTGATGTCATGTACGACAGGTGACCAGTGCTGACCACTGCCGTGCAGCGAGCACAGCGTGACGTCCGTCTGTGGCCCGCACCTGCAGGCGCTCTGGGTCCAGAGAGCGTGCAGAAGAGTTCCCGTGTGGCCAGGTGCAGCAGCTGATCCCGGCGGTGGCGGCTGTGTCGCCAGTTGATCCCGGCGGTGGCGGCTGTGTCGCCAGCTGATCCCGGCGGTGGCGCCTGTGTCGCCAGCTGATCCCGGCGGTGGCGGAGACATATCCGCGGCACATGTGGCGGTCCCGGCGTTTCTGGGTGCCTTCAAACGGCGGGGCATACCTACCGAGAGGCCCGGCGTCCGGCTGGACCAGCAGGAGGCGGCGCTGCTGAGCAGGACCCGGAGGTCCGGCTCCGCCACGGCCCAGACTGGCCCGCGGAGCCTCAGTCGGTGCCTGTAGCTGCAGTAGCTGGCCGCTGACGCCACCCTCAGCTACGGCAGACGCAGCGCCCTCGTCATCCAGCCTGCTGATATCTTGCCCGAAATACATGGAAATGGAGTAAAATGCGTCTCCAAGCGCTCAGTGATAAGTCTGTTTATGAAAACGAGGCACTGAAGATGCAATTACCGCCTTCCACTCTGGGTCTCAGTCAGCAAGGCACAGTATAGCCGTGTAACACAGCATAACAGAGTAAAGCCGTTTAGCACAGTGTAGCATGGTATAGCCGTGTAGCGCAGTATAGGACACTTACACATTTTTGCCATTATGTACACATGAGAGCAATTTTAGTTACATTTCATGAAACAAGCATCAACACTGCCACGCCCAGTGGTGGCACCCACCGCGCCAGCCAGCAGTTGGCCACAGCGGCCGCGGGCGGCGACGGTGGCGGTGCGGACGACGCTTTTTCCTTTTTCCTCGACGTGTTGTGTTTCATTAGAAGTGTGAGCCAAGTGAATGTGA